CTGTCGTTCACTGGGTTCTTCCCTCATGCACTTTTTGTAGATTGAAATAACACTGGTCAGCTTCCAGTCAGCAGGGACCTCCCCAGACCGCCAAGACCTTTGGTAGATGATCGAGAGGGGCCCAGCCATAACATCCGCTAGCTCCTTCAGTACTCTGGGATGAATCCCATCAGGCCTCGTGGACTCAGGAACATACTCCTGCATACAAAATCAAGCCAGAAAGCAGAGACTGGGCTAAAGATGTATGGTTAGACCACAATTTGACACAAGGGGGAGATGCTTTGCCACGGATAGTCATCTTGCAGGCCATCAACTGCAGCAGCTCCCTGGAGTACGGGCTGCAAATCCTGTCTCTGCCACCTCCCTTGGCAAAGGAGATACTTATTTACTTTCCTGCACAGGTGTAAGGAAAAAAAAAAAGCCCACTTTGGTTTAATTTCAGTGATTTAATAACATTAAACCCAACATTCTTTATACTAATTCTAGAACTCTGTTCTTTTGAAACACTAAAACTGATTTTCTTGTTAAACATCCATAATATTAAAAGCACTGGGGGTTTTGGAGCTAACAGCCTTTGAAAAATAGTCTCCTTCTGTACACCACCCAAAAATACATGGGTTGGGAAAGACCTGCACCTCCTCCAGCCTGCTGGATGGAGCCAGGGGTAGGAATGAAATCTGCTCTGGCAAAGCCCCCTGATTGTATGGCACTAACACAACTGGCAAAGGCAAACATGAAGAAAACATATTTGAAGCAACTGGAAGAAAAATGGAAGTGGAGGAGAGAAAAACGAGGAGGCGGCAAAACCCACCGTTCCTCCTCTTGCTTCCCTTGAGCTATTCAACACTAGCAGCATGGTTATCTTTGTACTGGAGCAGGATCCCATTTAATTGGAGGTGGAAGCATCCAACTGCCTCTGAGAAAGCTTCCAGTTTCAGGACACTTCAGAAGTGTTCCTCTGCTCTTCTGCAGAGCTGGCCTGTGAGGTAAGTAGGGAATTAAACCCGCTGTCCTTGTGAGAAAGGGGGAGGCAGCAACAATACATGTGCTAGGTTACACAGCCGGTAGGCAGCAGAGCGAGACTTCTTTGCACCGTCTTTCTGCTTAGGTGCCACAAGACTAGAGACAGAGAACAAGGCAGTTGCCTGCTCTGAGTGACACAGAAAGTTGGGTTTCACTGGCTGTAGCTTCCAGGCAGGCTGTCACTGTTGAAAGCAAATTAGATCAGCTGGGCATCAAGCGATACATCCCATCAGTTTTCACCGCCCACTGCTGCCAGCTTGACACTTCTCTTTCACGCTGCATGTGCCAACTGTCTTACAAAGCCAGCTGCAACATCTACTGGAAGGACACGAAGAACAACCAAAGATGGGGGAAGGAGGTGAAGGATCAGTTCAGGGTTGGGGTAAGGAGACCTTTTCCTGCCTTAGTCCAGGCAGAAGACGGGGTTCTCCAAGAAGACTGCGAGCTTGCTGGCCACCAGGTCCAGGTCACTGGTGTTGGCATATTTGAGCAGATTGGTGTTCTTAACAAAGTAATGCTTGAGGAAGTGCTGGCTTACACACTTGTGCAGCTTCTGTACCAGCCTCAGAAAGGCTTCAGGGAAGCAGCGCCAATCCTTGGTGCGTGGGTATTTTTCACACGTCCAGAATAGCACTGTCTGCAAGAAGCAGATGGGAGAGAAGAGGTGTTAGAGGTTCTGTCGAGGGCTCACACAGCTTACTAAGGCAGTTTTAGTGCTGGTAAATGCCTGACAGCCTTGGAAATCAGAGAGATTCACACTGCTATCTCCCTGTGTTAACATTTCTACGACGGAGGGATCATAACTAAAGCCTCCTCTGGGGATCAGCCAGAACAACTCTGACGAGCCTGGTTAGGATCTCTCCCAGGGGAGCCCCTCTCCATTGCCTGGGCCAGGAACCCAAGGAAAATGGTCTCACTAAAATAATCTTAGCCTATTTGCCATCCTCCAGCAGAAGCCTCTGTAGAAATGCCAGACATTTTAGGCTGTAGAAAATGGCCTATTATACAAGTGTAGAAGTCAGTAGGTGCAAGAAGGGAGAGAACAATAATCAGATTAACAATAATTATTTGTTAGCTCCAGCTGTATTTGTGCTGAAAATGTGCACAGATCTGCAGCCCAAACAGACTGAGATTCCAAGCAACTATTGCAGGTGCAGGGCATGCTTTCTCATCAAGTGCAGCCTGTTTTTTTCTGACACGCGATACTTACAGCATGCGCTACATTCTATTCCCCCAAGTTTATTTTATGTCATTTTACACTCGAGAAATCCATAGTTAAAATAACAAAATGCATATGATTATTGCTCTTATAGTATTATTTTTACGCTGCCCATGTTGCATTTTTCAGATTTTCCTATGACTGAGAAGAATTTTCTCAAGGTACTTAAACTTACTGTACCAAAAAAGCCACGCTGACTGCCTTGGTCAACCTGAAATCAGTTTTTAAAATACAAAGCCACCCATTTTGGTGACTGCTAAGTTCCTTACTGTCTTCTGAATCCCAATTTTATTTTGCAGATTCAGCAACCCAAAAAGAGACCCACGGATGCTGTGAGATGTGGCCAAACTACAGCCTTCAACTCCTCTCTTTCTTCAGAGGTAGAATTTCATCAAAATAAGCCACATTCTTCTGTATTGCCTGGTTTGTTTTTTTCCTCCAGCAGGCCTTACAATAGTTGTATTTCTGACAAATTTCTTCTCAGATCGCTTTTCAAATGTGAACAATTTTTTGTTCACAGCTGCAATAACCACAAAGACTTTTTTTAATGTTGCCAGGGAACAAAAGACATAGTGAGGAATTCAAGCTGTAACTGCAAGAGCTACTCCTTGGAGACTTGCAGAGCAGTTACCTTTCGTCACACTAAAACTACTTCAGCAAGATCCATCGACAGCATTTGCAATGAAGTTTCTGGAGGCATGGAAAACAGTGCTGCTCTTCCAGTCAGGTGCCAAACAGGTGACCTATCCCCAGCATCTACTGAGCCTTCCCTAACTGCCAGCTGTCTACCAGAGGCATAGAGTTGGCTTTCAACATGTACCTAGGTCTTTTTGGAGTTCTGGATCTTGAACTTCATTCCCATGCATGTACGCATAATGAGTGCGCTTACTCGGTCCTCTAAGGCTTTCACATCTTCTGGGGGAAGGAATTCCTCTGTCATAGAGGGCTTTTTTCATATGGAGTCTTGTTTAATCGTAGTTGTTGGATACCTTTGACAGAGGAAACCTGAAAATGTGAAGAAACCTAGCACTAGCATCTGCTCAACTGCTGGTTTATCTGCTGACTGTTTCTCTCTCTTGTTTTTGTTTGGTTTTTTTAATGTAAGTAATGTTGAAGCGTTCCTTCTATCTGGTAAACAATCCTCTCTCACAGTAAAAGCCTGAAGTACAGTTACAGTAAAGAACTGAAGAGCTTCTAAAGAGTTTTTTATTTTGATCAAGAATTCATGCAACAGCACTTCCTGCGGTCTTCTCCTTCAGCCAGAAAAAGAGATCATTACTAATGGTTAAATGGTTTTCCACTTCCAACTACCTATTGCAGTTTTTCCACCAGGTTGTTCTTACAGGCACCAAGAAGTTTTGCATTCTGCTAAGCTATAACCAGCCTCGTCAACTCTTTTTTGACTCCATCTTGACTTACATTAGTCCAATGACTATAACAGCATTTGATGGTCGCAACCTTTTCTTTAGGAGAAATCTTGGCATTGCATCTGGTTTTGGACATCAAAAGATCAGTAACTATTGTGGAAGCCTGGTGGCTTGAGGCTTCAAGGTAGGAGAAGAACAGCCTCTCCCTGGCAGCTCCAAGAGGATGGAGGCCTAGAAAACAAGATTGCTCTGCTGTCTGATAAATAGTGCTTCCTGTGGTCCATCAGTGTCTTCAGCTGTCAAATGCGGGGACATAGTCATAGCAGAGCCTTCTGTCTCTTCTTCACAAACGTTGTTTGAAGCCATCTTGAACCTGAAGTGTGTGCAGGGAGGATGCTACCACCCCTTTACCTTTTTCTTCCCTTCACACCCCAGATGTAACAACACCAGAACTGTAGTTAGCACCTCATTCATGAAATAATGCTCATCTAAGAGCATTTTGTTTGGTGCACATCCACAAAGACAAATGTACAATTTTCCTCTAGATAGATAGATGGATATGGATGGCTGGGATAGTCAAGGAGCAGGAGGTAACTGTGCAATTAAAGACAGTATTACAATGCCTATGTGAAGTCAAAACAGAGCAGGGGCCTCCACTCTAACATTACTTATGTTGCTGCAATCATAATGTTCCCACAGGCTTTAGTTTCTTGTTGAAGTTTGGAACATATATTTACTGAACTTCTTGCCACTGTAAAGCAACGAAATGGTACTGCAGTTTTGACAGTTACATTAGAACTTACATAGACACTACAGTGATGTACGCCATGATATTCTGACATTACTGGATGGAAGCCACTGCAACAGATACTGAAACTGTATCTTGGTATGATGATGATGCCTACCTGAAGGTGATAAGCTGTGATGACAGGCTTATTTCCAGCACACCAGACATCTTCCTTCATCTGCCTCATCACCCTGAAGCACTTCATGCGACAACCACCATCTTCATCAAGTCCTTCCATGAGTATATGCTCAGCACGGGAGAAGCACAGCTGCCAGTGATAATTGGAGCGGGCCAAAAGGTCGAAACCAAGCGACTGTGGACAAAAGGGGAAGTGTGACATCAGATCAGAGGCAAACTTCTCTGAGCAACACAGAGAGATGTTACAAAAAGGATGTGTGACATCTCTCAAAGTGTATTCTAAGCAGGGTTAGCAGAGGCAGCAAACATGGGTCATGGTCTGATACTAATTCCTAGTCAAATGACTGTGCAATTTGTTTTCTTTCCTCATGTGCTGACATCACTTACTCCCAGGAGATCCAGCTCTGGAGCCACCAGGTGCAGTACCAGCAGTGCTAACAAAGCAGAGGCACAGCTCTGCAGGCACTTTGCCATGGAGCAGCAGGTCATGCATGACAGGGGAACAGGGCTGGAAGGCGTAACTGGACCTGCAGGAACATGGCATCTGGGGCTGAGCTGGAGTGCCAGAATCCAGCCATGAGCTTTTTGAAAGATGGGATTAGGCCAGAAGGAAAACTACAAGATAGTGGCCCATTTGCAGAAGGCTTACATGAGGCAGAGCAGAACAGCAAGAATAATGCACGTCAGCACTGAGCTACACAGGCAGAGCTGTGTGCAAGAGACTCATACAATAAACAGTTAACTCCGTTTTTCTTCCATAGAATTCACTACTGTAAGGGGGAAAAAAAGTCCCAATAAAATCCAATGGAATACTTTGAAATACCGCTTCCATAGAGAATACACCTTCCGGGGGGAAAAAAAGTCCCAATAAAATCCAATAGAATACTTTGAAATACCGCTTTCGTAGACAATACACCTTCCAACCATGCTGTTGCCTGCCATGCAGTCCTTCAGTTGGGAAACCATTGTCACGACACCTGTGAGGTAAATTCCAGCACAGAGTTAATAGTGCATTTTTACACTGTTCACCTTGACACACTGCACTTTTTCTTGGGAAGGCCAACGCTTAAGGCAACGAGGCCACCGGGCTTTCTCAGGCCAGCAAGTTGGAATCTCCACAGCAGGGACCAGCTCCACCTCGACCTGCAATTCTGATGTCTCCACAGCCACCCGTACCACTGAGCTGAAGCTCTCCAGCACCGTCACTTTACCTGTAAAGCAACAGCAGGAGACAAATAAAGAGGAACAGGTCCTTTTTCCACAAGCCAAGCAAAGGGCTGTCTAGGGCCTTGCAGTTCTATTGTTCTGTCTTAACATTTTCTCTTCAATGCTATCAGCAGAATACAAGAAAAAACTTATCATCTTAATCTACTCTGGGGAATGAGAACAGGAAGAAGATGAAGGAACAACTAAGTTCTCAATTTTACACTCAGTTACCTTGCTTTTGTTTTCCACAGTGGGTCCTCTTAAATCCTAGGACCAGCTTCTTAAAAATACAGATAGACAGCTGGTGCAACCTAACATTTCTAATGGTACAGTACAACAAGGAGATCACTGCAGATTAGAGGGGACCAGATGAACACTTCATATCTAAAGAGCTCCTTATTCCTTCAGAGAACCTGTGATCACACCAAATGACTTACCCTTGCCGGTCATTCAGGATGTTTTGTGGGGTACCCGTAAGTTTTGTTTCTGGAGGTGCACTTGCACAGAAGACAATGTCAGAATTTATGGCCTGTATTGCAGAGTAGTCATGCAAAAAGGGCTAACTACTTGCCTCACCAGGACTGCTAAGTGTCAAAAAGAGTTAGTTCCATGTTGACTTTGAGGAAAGAAGCTCAGTGAAAGAAGAGCGGCTCATCTCCAGGAACAACATGCTCTAAGAGCGCAGAAAGGAATGAAAGCTGCAACTAATGGACTTAGTGAGATGTTTCCTCTTGGTCCAGCTTTCATGGAAGAACTTTCTGTCCCCAGCTTTCCCTGTCAGTCTGCCAGGATCACTGTCCCTTCAACTTTGCCAGCTGAGCCAATTGTGTGGTCATGCTCTAACCTACTGAAGTAAAAGACAGAGCAGATTACCATAAGCAGGTTAAGTGGCAGTATGTTAACCCACTTCATTTTGACTGGCATGGGCTAAGGAGCAATTCCACAAGGAGCCCACACAACAGACTTGAAAAGACAGTGATGAACATCTTCTACAGGAAAGATGTTCTGCAGGAACATCTTCCTGTTCTGCAGGAAATATCTGCCTGCATCCAATGGTAATTCAGCATCTCCTCCAGGAAGCACAGGGGTGAATTACCTTGCAAATAGTGGAGTCCACCCCAATCAGAACTTCGTAACCCTCAGTAAAATCTGCATGTTATTTCCCTGCTGAGCCAAGGCTGGTACCAAAACAGTAACTGTACTGCTCCCAAGCCCTCAGCAGGGATCCCTAGCAGCTGAAAAGCATTAGAGCAACCGCTGTGTCAGCATGTAAATACAGTCACAGCATTTCCAAAAGCATGGGAATTGTGCTACCAATGAAAAGTGAGACATCTCAAAAACTCTGGTTTTGCTGGTGCTCAAAGAATTAAAAAAATAGGGAAGCAATTAATTTTTTTCTGTAACCTCAGTTGTACTGTGGGATGAAGGAAGTTCATTCTTCACAGAAATGAACAAAAATGGTAATTACTCCTCCTGACTTCATCTTAGCTCATCTCTTCTGTGTCAGTCTCCTCCCAGCTGGCCTTACAAAAATGGCGTCAGAATCATCAGCCCAAATCATCACCCCCTGGGTCCCTTACAAATATCTCTCCTGGCTCAACAACTTGATGTACTGCTGCTAGACACAATGGCAGGTTTTCACTTCAACACAACGACTTCCACAGAAGTAAACCTTCAGACACAAGCCCATTCCATCTGGTCTTTTCTGTGAGCCTCAATGGTGAAATTTCATTCCCATCAACCTTTCCATTTCTATGATAACAAATATTTCCTGGAAGAATGCAATGATCTAGCTGAGCTTGACTTTAGCATGTTTTCTCCTGTGACTAAAATTCTGAGTGCAATCAGATGAGTGGAAATGGCTGGAATGCAGAAAAGTCGTAACAGGTTGACTATGAGTAAAGTCATCCTGGAAACGTGCTATGAGAAGAGGCACCACAGTTTGGATTTGATCATGTCACAGTATCTTAATGTGAAAAGATGGACATAGACTATTTAGCCTGGACCAAGCCAAGTGTTCATTAGCTGAAGTTTATAACACGCCTCTAGGATGCCCAGAATTAAGCATGACGGTCGCTGTTCAGGCAGCATCTTGCTACAGATGTTGCAGCTATGAAGGCATGTTGCATGCACCACTGATTGCATTATGTCACTGATTGCGTTATGTCAGTGATCAGCACTTCCAGTATAAATAGCCACAGGAAATAAAGAGGCACTTCGGATTGCTCACAGAGGGATCAGCACCACTACTGAAAGCAAACTTCCTGAGTCTAGTTCTGCTGCACAGGACTGGAGTAGCCTGGACATTGGGGAAAAGAGCACTTGTCCAACAGACTTTGCTTAAGTAGAAGTCCTTCTACTTAGTTCCCACTGTCCCATGACGGAAAGCTACAGGCAGCTAAGGTTTCCTCAGAGTATTATCTGCCCTATATGCAACTTCAAGTACTTTCTCCTTTGACTTACGCACCTTCCGTGTATCCAATTTTCCAATACTATCTTCCTTGATAGTCTAGATATATCGCAGGTGCTGTAGTAGAAAAGGGTTTTTCCCAAACAAATCCCTAAATATTCTGAAAATGTGGGTTGCATCTTGGTTGAACTGTGGGGGTGATGTTGCTGGAGACCCTACCCAAATTCCTAAGAAAGGAGTAACATCTTGGCTAATTCTATCTTCAATGCAGGTCTACATGCATCACTGCAATGGGCTAAAGGTTCCCTGATTTTGGAGGGGTTTGTTGTTTTTTAACTTCTGATCATGTGCACCAAACAAACACTTTGTGTGTGTGATGGTTTCTCTCTATCAGCTGCAGAAGATAGCCAGTTCCCCTTATACCTGTCCCCACTAAACTCACTGGAGAGGTTACAGGAGATAATCGACTTCTCCACCAGCTCCCGGAAGACGATAAGGACTTTGGCTGGAACGAGATCACCTTCGATGTTCACATCCGTTTCATGCCACTGCTGAAGGCTTTTTGAGAACTGCTCCACCTCTAGCCATTGATGCAATTCCTCAGGGTCCCGCACGGAGGAGAGCAGCTTGGCTCCATGCACGGTGTAGTAACGCCAGTGCCGTACCTGGCATTCCCTGTACCCAGACAGGCCACGCAGAGGGACTGTGATGAGGAATTGGCTGGGTGCTAAGACCTAGGAGAGTGCAGAGAGATGGAGAGAGGAGGCAAGGGCAGATCCATGAGCCTGAAGTACGAAAAAGAGGGTTAAGGAAGTAACAGGTAAAACTGTGGGCTTTGGAGAGAAGGAAAGGCCATGTTATGATGGGAGCAATTGAATACAGTCAGGACCTGTTCCATGCCTGTCTGAGGGTTACTTTGGAGGTACGCAGACTAAAAGAAAATTGTCTTAAAAGGAGCCTGATGTGACAGCCATGGCCCACAGAAGACAAGAGTGCACTGACTGATTTGCCACCACATCTGCCATGGTTCCCTCATTCCTTGTTATTTCTATTCTGCAATTGCATGAGATGTAATAACTAGCAGCTTCCAAGGAGCAGAAAAGCATCAGAGAGTACGTCTGAAGATCCAGCAAAGGGAAACAAAATAGTGCAAGTTATTACCTCAGAACAGTTACTAGAGATAAGCCTAGAGCTCAACAGTAGTAATAACTATAACAAAAAGTGCACTTTTCTGATCTCTTTCAAAGTCCACTACAGACATTAGTAAAATAAGGCTATGGCCCATTCATTTTACAAGTGTTTCACTCTGCATGACTGTCCTTTAAGAGACAGAGATGTGAGGCAAGTGACACGCCTGAGCCTACACAGGCAGTGCCACTCTCAGAAATAAACCCAGGTCTTGGTGAGCCACACTGTGAAACTCCGTCTCCAGCTGAGCAGAAGCCAGAAACAGTGTTAAGGACAGAAACAGTAGCCAATGGGTAACAAACCCACAAACAGGCTTGTTTGCAAGACAGTAATTGGCCTCACTTTGGGAATGCCCGTTTTCCAATAAAACCAGTGCTGAACCACTATTTGCAGAGGTGAATAAGATGACACAAGTACCATGAAACCTCCTACTGTCCCAGGGCATCTCCAAACACTAGTTTGGAAGCATTTGGCGATCATGGCTCCAGGTATTCAGAGAGTGTGCCCAAACTCCTTCAGAATTCTACCGTGTTGACTTGGAAGCTTTTCAGCTCCACTTGCTACCAAGCCTAACTTACACTGGCATGAATAAGGTGAAGCTGCTGCACAAGCAGGATGTGAAGTGACAGCTGTTGCTGCAAGGTGGTTATCTTGAGGTGAATAAAACGCCTTTATCACTCTCCTGTAATAATCCAAAACATTCTGGTGGCCTTCCTGGTAGCTCAACTGATTTAAAATGTTAAAAAGGTGCCAGGGTCCTGAGGGCACTAACAGGCTTTGATGGCCCTGAGCAGCCTTTCTGGGGCTTCTACCCACACCTTCTGCCCATGGGCCTGGGACCCCCATTTCAACTCAGTGCTGGGCTATGTTGTAGAAGTGCTAGTCTCCAGCCATGTCACAGCTATGCCTGTGCCTGGCCATATACCTTGTCCTAACTGCAGACTGCCTTCCCAGCCTGGCCTCAGACCTACTTGGCCACTATGGACTTGCCCAGCAATCAAAAGACTGCATCTGACCCTGGTTATTGTCACTGGGCCTGATCCTGAACCCCGATGAGTGGTCCTAGCTTGACCTCAGACCTGCCTTATCAGCACAGACTTTCCGTGGTTATGTAGACCACGGGCCGCAGCAAGTCACAGGCTTGAACAAGAGCCCCAAATGCTGGTGTGTGTAACTTATGGCCAATTCTGCTGTATTAAAAACCTGCCTGCAGTATGCTGGGCAAATTAAATACAGCCTCATTCTTGAGATCCTGGCCAGGATATCCCAGGGAGGCAGAAGCATTAGGTTAGAAATAAAATATTTACGCTTTGAGCAAAAAAGCAAGTCTCTTGGGGAAAGGATGAAACAGTCATGGGAGGATCGGTTAGGTGGGTGAAGTTGTCTGGAGAAGAGGGTGGGTGAGGAGGAAGCAGGCACACGGACCGGCAGGCACCAGGTGGCAGGAAGGCTTTGTACCTGGATGGATGGGTGGAATGGGCGCTTCCCCCGAAGCATAGCTGACCACTTGGCCAGTAAAGCTGGCTGATCCTGAGAGAAGCAGAAAGGAAAACAAGAAGTACACAGAACAGAGAGAAAGCATGTGCAAGGTCATTTATTCACAGAGCAGAGCTGCAACCTTCCTTAGAGTCTATTTGTTAAGGGAAAATCCGCCCCTCGCCCCCGCCATGATTACAGAGTTAAACACTTGGCAATGCTGTTGGGCAGTGCTGTACTAGTAATTACTCTGGACACTAACCTGCTCGTTATGCTTTACTGAAGCCTCCACAGCTTTTGCATCAGCCCTGCACAGTTGACAGCTGAAAAAATGGTGGGCCACAACTAAAACAAACACTGAAAATTTTAAAAATAAAAATATTCCATTTTGTCCATCTGAATTTTATTTCAAGTTTTTTATTCAAGATTTTGACTTTCTGTCCCTGGGTTACTGAAAAAAATTGAATATCTAATGACTTTTATATATTCCCCACCCAGACCTGCATATTTAGATGGAGGCTTGTAGCTTCTTAACAAATCTAGACCCCTCGTCATGTTAAATTAATTCCTTTTAACCAGAAGCTGAAAGTTCCAAAAAGTCACTGTAAATTTAATTGACAGAAAAAAGATGTTGCAAAATTAAACACAGAATAGTTAATACATTGGGTTTCCCTTGACACAAGTCTCCTCTAGGTTGAGTTATGTCAGCAATGATATTACGATATTAAAGATTCTATTTTTTGGAAGCAGAACAGCCCAAGCCAAAAAATTTTCTTATTAACCCATTCTTTGCTGCCCCATACCTACAGGACAAAGTTAGCCAGGCCCTCCTAGTGTCACTTCCACAGATTTATAGCACAGGGTTCAGTTAAGTACGAATAACAAATCTGCTACTTTTTAAGAAAATACATTTTGAAGATTTCTTTTAAGCAGAAGTTTTTCAGGTCAGCCTACCATAATACCAAATTACTGCTCAGAATAGATCGCCTTGGTTTTGTCTGCTTTGTTTTCCAGAACAGCAATTTTATCCTGACCCTGGTCTTGTCAGACCTCATTAGCGAAGCAGGTTTGTTCCAGTATGAGAGTGGATGGCAGACTACGGCACTAAGGAAGATGTCGACCAGAATGTGGCAGCATTTTAAGTCACTGTGGTCATTCCTATTGGCAAGACCTCATGTCCTGGGATATGCAAAATTCCAGAAAAAGATATAAAACTGCATGTGCCTCTCCCCAGGGCAACAGCCACATTTCAGCCTGGATGATTATATCCTGCCTCCACCTCCATACCCTTCCAGCAGCTTGATACACACAAAGTTCTTCCCTTTCAATCCCAGACAGCTGCAAAAGTTGTGTCATGCTTTACATGTTGGCTGTGTTTTGATCTGTAATTGGCTGCATTTTACTATAAGGGTTGACATTGCTAGAGTACGTAAACTAGTTCAGATGAAAAAGATCATTTTCATCTGAAGTTACCATTGCTATGATTGTTTCTTATATCCTTACACTAGTTATTGTGTTAAATAGTCACAGGAAATAACCAGTGTTCTCCTGTCACAGCTGGGACAGGACATTATTATTTTGGTATTTGATGGTCTAAAATGGGGAGGCATTTAACTTCTCCCAGTAATAAGTATATTTCTTCCCAGTAAAAAAGAAGTTCCAATCCATGACCAAGAAAAAACATATTTTTCTGAAGGAGCTTTCTAATGTTCATAGCAGAAGAAGGATTTTATTTTTTTTTCTTTTTTCAGTGAGTTGACAGGTTTTCCACCTGTGAAAAATATGAGTCACAGCTCATGAAGGCATGAGCATTTTTTTCTTCTTATGTTACTGCTATACAAGTTTTTATTTCTGTCTCCGAAAGAGCTTTGGCTTCTGCTTGCAGATTGACAGCTCTGGCAATAGATGCTCTTTGTAAAAACAGCAGCTGTAAAAAGAGGCTCTGCCTGATTTACCCAGCCCTCTCTGATGTTCCTCTAGTTGTAAAGTGTCCATGAGTAAGTCCCTATGACCCAGTCAGTCACTGGAACTTCCACAGTGAAGCATCAACGCATCATCTGTGGCATTCTGGGTGAGGTACCTGTCCATACAAACACTTACACAATGGAGAAATCACTTATTGATTGCCCACAAGCTGCCAGAGAGTATATTAGAGCTCTTGTTCATACCTTAATATTCTCATTGTGAATGCCAGAGTTGGAGATAGCCTGGAATCGCGTGGCCTTATAGCTAATTTCTGCAGTCAGTTGCTGGATGATTTTCTGCACCTCCTCCACCGCTTTGGAAACCAGGTAATGTCGCTGTTCTACCTGTCAGTTCCAAGAAAGACACTTCATATTATAGGTAACTGCAGGCTTTGTCTCCAGTGGAAAACAGACAATCAACTTAAAGCCGTCCGAAAGACTTGTGCCTGTGCTGCACTGGGAATAAAACTTATCATTCCTTATGTGTTACAACCAACTTACCATGAGACAGAGCTGGTAAACACCGAAGGGCCAGTACTCAAGACTGCTGACCATTAATTGATATTTCCATGCCAATACCATTGGATGGAAGGGGAAGAGTTCATTACATGGATAAATTTGCCATCAACCAGCTACAGTCTCATTCTTTATCTGTTTGATGCAGAATATCCAGTTATTCCCCTGCATATACTAGCCATTCTCAGAGCCAGGATATGTTTCATACCAAGAGCTGACAAGACTTGAAGAATTACATATACTCTGTGCATTAGTCAGGTTGCAGGTGTATGTGGCAGCATTTAGATGCCTATATTATATGTTGAAAGTATCCATACTATCTTTATATCTGAAGTACAGATGACCGTCTACTCCTGAATGGTGAGAAAGTGTCTTTCCAAAGCTGGTCCCATTGGTGACTAGGTGTTTGTGTGACTTGATGGATAATTCTTCAATACAAGCAGTGGTAGCATAATTATTTATTGAAAATTCTTTCACTGGAAGGTCTGAGTCTTGGAAGGACTGAGGTGAAGGATGGACAACTCAGAAAAATGTAAGATGAACCTGAACCTTCACATACGACTGAAAATGAATGAAGCATAATGGGATGGTCAGAATCCAAACAAGGAGATTCAACTGGAAGAACATGAAGGAACCATGTTAGTAAGGGACATTTAAATATTTCCCAAAGATCCTTACATATTTACCAAAATGAGAAGGAGATTCAGCTACTGTTAACAAAGTTCATGAACATATTCTTCATTACTTATTCATCCAGAATTACCTATCCAGAGTGAGATATGAAGACTGTTTACTGTCCTTTTTTGCATCCTAATGCTTTATCTCATTTGGTTGCAATTTTTGCTTTGATTTCTTCTTGGTTTTTCTTTTTCCTCACCATATTCTACTAAATCTCATTGTTTGCAGGCAAGAAAAAAAAATTCAGAAACAGATGGGAGGTTTGAAACACCTAGATCAAAAATGAAAACCCACCCGAACCTATATCACCATTCTGTGATTCTATTCTAAACCTCCTGTGTCCTGCTTGCTTAGCATCTTCTTCAGCATCTAAATAACACCCTTCTCCCTTTTAGAAAATACCACTGACAAGCACTTCACTAAAAGTCCTTTTGAACACCTTTATGTCAAATGTTGAACTGTCAGAAAAAACAGGTAAGTGTGTTGAAATGTGTCCTCAAGCCCTGGGAGGTCACAAATAGATTCACTTCTTCACAATGGACCACACAATGGACTAAAAAGGACTAGCGCTTGCCTACAACTAACCAATGAATAGCAATTGACTAACACTGAACTTGAAGATGAGCAGAGTTTGAATACCTCAGCCAACAAAGTCAACAGTATTTTTACTAAGCCTGAATAGTTTTTGGAAGGGGGAAATACATCAGACAGCAGTATCATATTCCCTTCGCTGGTCTCTCATCTACCCTTGACATCCTGAGTCTTTGTTATGTTAACAATGCATAGTCCCTTATGTTTATATAATACCCTTTAATTTCCCTAGTAATTCACCCTCCTCCTCATTCCAATTCATCCTTGTTCTTTGAGATCAGTTTTAGCTGGCTTCCGTGTACTTCTTTTTTTGTAAAGAAAATTTACACTGAAAAATTTTAGCCCATGTTCATTTTCACCTCCTCATCTCAGTTTTCATTTATGGCACTTCTCCATCTGTAGCTATAGCTATTTTCTCTGCCATGTTTTTGCTCATCCAGAAGAACTCCTTAGAGCAGTCCAATAAGTTTGACTTGCTCAACAAGATACCTAATGGTTTCTCCAACAAGCAAACGGTACGAGTGGTAGAGAAAGTTGTCCACCTCTAAGAGCTTTTAGACACAAAAAGCATACTTTTCCTGTTGAAAATATACAATCACTGGGGGTCAGCTCAAATAGAAATCTAAGAGTGCCTCTGTAAGCATTGTTCATGCTACGTTCTCTCTAAGAGGCACCTGCTAGAAACACTTTCTGCCACCTCCAGCAACCCTGGAGAATCCATCCAACCCAGCCTGGCCTCATTTAATTGTGCCTTCATCACCTACTGGCTAGGATATAGCAGTTGTCATGAAATCTTTAAGAGAATATAGACTCAGAAAACCTATGAAGGGAGGTACCACTAAAGACCTCTTTCTGCATGTACTCATCACTGGGGCAGGGATAAAAAGAACAAAGGGCATGTGACAGATGGTGCTAACACTTGCTAACCATAATTAGCTCCCTAATCATGCTATTGGAAGATAAAACCTCCCTACAGAAGGGAAAGCATGAAAATCAGAAGACAGAATATGAGTGAGTGAATGCAGCTTCTGAAGAGCCAAGGCATTTATATAAATTGTCTTTAGCACCAGTACAAACATGTTGGGAGAAGAGACAGAACAAGCTCTTTGTTGGACAGCCACTTCTACCACCTGCCGGCATTCCCCTTACCAGGCCTTAGCTTTGGAAATCATACCAAAACAAATGCACAAAACCAGAATAAGGTCAGTTAAGGTTTTACTATGGAGGAAGGAAGCAGGACTAGGATTTACTGGACATTAAGAACATTTCGGTTTGTTCTTATTTATCCAGTCACATCCACTCCATACGCACTTGAGTTTTTCCTTTGCTAAGTGGCTTAATGAAGAGATCTTTGGTATCATAGAGATTCATCGCACCAGGTGGTTGACCTATTTTCAAAAACAGGCAGCATTTGACAAGGAGAACCGGGGTTGCCTGAAGTTTAGGCAGCCTCACTTGGACAGGAGACTCAGGAGCAGGCAGAAACTAGAAATCCATCAGAGCTGGAGGGATGCTAGAAAACAGACTTCCAGTAGAACCTAAAATATTGGCAACTATGAGCCTCACGTAACTACACTCTGCTTCTGTTCTCTGTACTTATGGCTGTCATATGAGCATCTTCCTGTGCATGGCTTCCCTCTGTTCCTTCCTTTGTAGCTTTGCTTTATAAACCTTCAGAGAAGTGTTCACTATTATAGCTCACTGAACAGATTCTGATGGACTTATTTTCCAGTGCACAACACTGCATGGCTGAAAATGAAAGTTCTCACAGAAATAAACCTACTAGACACTAAAACATTTCTATAGAGAAAACAAACCTTTCTTACTAGCCCCTTCATGGTACTAGAGTATTTCATACTTTACAGAAAAGACAGACTTAGAGTTTTCCATTTTGAAATTATTTTTCACTTTGGTGTCTTGCATCTTGTTGGGGAAAGCAGACTATAAAAGAGGATCTAGCTAAGTACTGTGATGAAATATGTCAGCTTTAAAAAAATGTTATGGCTCACTTAAAGTTACTTTTATTAAACAGTATCATTTCATTGATGATTTTATTCTGTTTTACTTCATTTCATAATGGGGGAAAAAAATGGAGTGCTGGAATATCTCATAAAACAGAAAATGTAGTTCCAGCTTGCATGTCCTAATAAGACATGTTATTTTAATCATGGTATATAGAGAAGTAACCTTAGCTGAGGTGACAGACTGATTCTAACAATATCTGTCTCGTTCTCTCTAGTTCCTACATGCATCTTTCTTAGAGGCAACTCCTGGTGTGGTTTCAGTCGTCTTTCTGTCAAGCCAAGATCCCTGGACAGGGAGAGATGCAAAAACCTTTCCTTAGATGAAATGCTGGCAATTACAGCTAGTCTCACACCTGGAATTCCAGATCAGGAGCAAAAATTCAGGACATCTTAAGAGGAGGACAAGCACCTCAAAAAATTAGGCTACCAGCTGAGATGCCTGATAACATTCTGCAACAGAAACCTAGAAATCTCATTAGAAATACAGTTCTCATGAAACTTCACCCAATCTTGTCTCAGAAATGAAGACAGCAGGCAAGCAACTAACTGTCAAGTTTGGCACCCTTCAGAATCAACACCTAGTGTGGGAGACAGAAAATCTGGACAGATAAAGCCTTACCTTGCTCTGGATGTAGATTTCTACATCTTCATCTGTGAATGGTTTCATGGCAAGATGGTCTTCGCTGCTCTCTAAAGTGTGAATTCACTCTTCACTTGTTCACCTGCTCCTGGAAGCAGAGGGACACTCAGAGTGAGCTGCTCAGAGCCTTCTTGCCCTGTGAAGCTCTGGTCACCTAATTCCTCTGTGGATGAAGAAGAGGAGAGAGAAGCAAGGAAGTATGCCTATTTTTAAACTGTTTTTCTGGTCTGAGTTACAATGGTGACATCCAGCTGCTTTGGAAAACTAGCTCCAATTATTATTTTCTAAGCTCAATCATTATTATTAATCTTATTACTTTTAAATGGTGGGTTTGGCATGCAGGCACACACAAAAATATCCCAGCTACTGCTCTGTCTCAGGGCAGATCTGGAAGTGCCTTTTGGATTGCAATGCAGATTCGGTACGCTCATGCACAGCATTATTATTCTGTGTGCCACAAGTACTTCCCTGCCTCGCTAGCCCTTCACTAAACCATTTGTTAAACACTCTCAGCTATCGCATGTTGACTTCAATCCACCCACTTTTCGTCTGAAACTGCATGGGTATTTTTACACTCGGATCATTAATTTGGGTTGCAGTCTGCAGCCTCTGCTCCTCTCTCCTCCCCTCTCCTTATATCTCCTCTCTCTCTCTCTGGCTGTATTGACAGTAAATATCCTGCAGCCCGTCCCCTCCTGTAGTTAGCTTTGCTTTCTTTACAGTAAACAGACAGAAAGCTGCCTCTTGTTTTCTGCCAGCTAACAACCCCATATGGATAATTCAGAGGGAAAAACAATTGATCAGGCCTCATTGATCCAGTGAGGGTTGGTGGCTTTTAGAAAAAAGGATACAGCAGCGCATGGAAGGGAGTGACAGAGTACAGAGATGAGACCCCATGCTGCTAAGTGTCCCTTACTAAGATTCTCCAGAATCTACAAATCAAACCTTTCTCTGTGCCTTCCAGGCATGTGCCTTCATCTTTTTGCTGAGGGACTTGAGGACTCCTCCACAAAGACATATAGGTATTTACTTCCCAAACCAGCTTCCATAGGAGTTGGGCACTGAAAAAGACGAGCCCCCCAATTTTTAGGGAACCATACCTCATCCTAGCTCCCTTCAAGATTTACTGGCTGTCTTTCAGCTGACAGGCTAACAGTGTATGCAAGCTCTGCCAGGGAAGCCAGAAAAAAGGCAGGTTCTGAAAGAAGGTGAGTGGAACAATAGTTTAGGAAGGACTTTTAGGGGCAGGTTGGATGGGATTAAGTTCAAACAGAGTGTGCAATCGAGGAGAATGAGCCCTTTAAATGGTCAGATTCCATTAATATTTTAGGGACATACTTTTAACTCCCTTGTGTCCCCTCATGCAGCTGGCTGTACATACAGAAGACTACTTCCTTAACATTCCTGATACCATACATTACTTTAACATCCAGAATCTCAGATGTGTATTAGAAAGCAAAGAGAAATTGTGGGTATCTCTTTCTAGCACATATAAGGTCTCTCCTTGTGACAGCTGTCCAGAGTCACAGGTGCTGGCGAACAGATGAAGTGGTTTCAGTCATTTTTCTTGTATACAATAACAGACCTTATGTTTATAACCCTTTTCTATTGGGAAGCACTTCCCCAAGAGGGTCTGGATGTCCCCAGCTCCCCCTCCTCATAGCGAGGGAGGGTGGCATAAAGTCTTGGACAAGGACCATCTTTTTGTTTTGTGTTCAAGCATATATAAATTCAAGTCCAAGTTTATGCTGAAGTCCAAGGATCTGAGCAACAGTTCCTACCTGCTCCTACTATCTGAAAAGAACAAATAACTCTCCCTCATCATTACTATTAAGCAGGTGCAAGGGGAGATGGCAGAGGAAAAAGCAACAAGAAATCCAGCATCAAAAGTAAAATAAAACACAGGCTTGTTCTCAACTCTGAGAACTTCTTGCTCCAGCTGTAAGAATTTGCTGCTTCATAATTTCCTTGGACTTCAATGAATCCAAAGAAAGAAGGAAGAAGAACAAGAACTGGATGCAGGAGATCATAGCAGATGGACAACTTGCACTGACTGCCTGTGGATTTTATTATGCTACTTATAGGATGAGAAGAGTACTATTTGACAGAAAATACTGCACCCGATAAAGGCCCTTACACCACCAGCAAAATACAGCACAGGTTAGAGTGGCAACAGGCCCTTCTGTAAAGGTAAAAGCAGCATGGTGGTATGGGAGACAGCAGCCAGTCTTGACCTCACTGAGGAAAACAGACATCACAAGGACTCTCGTTTGTTACAGGAGGAGCAAAAAGCACAGAACACAGGAGAAAAGCAGAGGCAGATGGCCATGTTGAAGAGGGAATATTACTGTGGGAAAAACCTGCATCAGATGGGAAGAATACAGAGAAAGGGGAGTGCACAGGGAAGAACATTTGCAGAGATAAAAGAGGACATAGACCCAAAGTGGGAAGAATCCAGGCTCCTCCAGTGAGATCTGCTGAGCTGATGCACTGTTGTTGCAGTGAAACCTTCATCTAACTTCAGCCAATAGTCACGGCTTTTGCAGCTCACCCCATTGAAGGCTCAGGATTTCTAGACTGCTGGTTTGTGGTGTGTTGGGTTTTTTTGTTTGTTTGTTTGTTTTGGTTTTGTTTTTTTTTTTTGCTTTTCTCCAATTAATCAGCAAAACTACAGAAGCAAACCCATGCTTCAGGTTGATCCTTCTCAGAGAGTATCTATCCTGACAGTGCTTGTATAGGAAAGTAAGATTACAAATGGAGAAAACCCAAGATGGACCCAAGCTCCAAGAGCTAATAAACACAATCTCCTGAGAAAACATTTCCTCTGAGCCCACAACAACTTCACACCCCAGGCACACCAGCAAGAGGGAGTGAAGAAAGGCTATCTCTTGTTCCTCACTCTTTGAGAAGCACAGAAGGAAAGAACACCCCTCTTGTCACTTACACTCTCCTCCTTTTTCCAGGACCAGGCATATTTTGTTCCTTGAAGGAGAATGTTTGCTAACTGTTGCTTTTTGAGCAGCTTACGCACTGCTACCACTCCCTGAGCAGGGGTGGCCATGGCCTGCCACAGAAATGTGTCTTCACCGAGTATGAGCCAGGGCCATGTGCTCCCATCCAGCTCTGCCAAATGTCAGCCTGATGGCCAAACCAGTCATGGACTGAACGGGTGGGAAAAGCTCACAACTGCTTCATGGAGATACAAAGCACCCCACTGAAGCCAGGCAATGACATGAAGATGCAAGCAGAAAAGGCTTCTTCAGTTCTAGTTAGCTCAGAAACCATCAGATATCATGGATCTGAGCCCTGTAAAGAGCTTTTGAGCTTTGTTAATTTAACAAATTTCCCAAGTATACTTGTTTCTAAGGAGATTCCCATCCGCAATGAAAATGGCTACCTTTCTGACACCTCTGAATCTCTTTATTTTCTCTTGATTTTTGAAAGAGGCTTAAGGTCCCGCTGGGGTCTGGGCATATTTCTGAGAGGGAGGATCACTCTCAGACAGTTCTTGCTGAGGGCACTGCAACCTTCCTTCCCTCTTTGGTGTCCCTCACGAGGTTATCAGCATCACTTACATAGCTAGCTGACCACAGACGGTTCCCCAAATTCTGCTTCCATTGCTTTATCCAGCTGTTCTCAAGCATTTTCAAGCCACGCTTCAATATCTTGGTTTTCTCAAGTCATAGTTCCCTGCCTGCTGATCTGCATAAGTTCATCTGAAATGATCCAGCTGTATTACACCCCCTCATTTGTTTTATTTCACTGCCCACCTCGTAGCTCGTTGTAACAGAGTTCAGTTTGTGGCTAATTTCCTTTGTATCTGTATCTTCATTTGCTAATCAGTATTATTCTAAGACAATTTAGGGATTTCCTAGTATCTGCAAAAATACTAAATCTACGATAAATCATCTTCATTCATGCTTTTGGCAATATCCAGAACTTAATATGATTGTGGATCTGTGAAACCCACATAAAAGTATTCCGTGAATAAATACCTTGAATGGTATTAGATTGGCTCTTCTGTCTTCTGAAGCTGTCAATTACTGATGCTTTCCATGCTTGCCTGGCTTTCCTTTCTTCACTCTTCAGTTTCATAGATATGACAAATATATTTCAAACCTACAAACAAAAATAATCTGAACTGTGAACTGTACAACAATAAAAAAATCACCAACATAATGTAAATAAGAGCAGTAGTATTAACTGTACGGGGAGGTCTGATATTGTGGCTTTTTCTGTTTGGCAACTATTTAGAAAACCTACTCATATGGAACAGTAAGCATGTATTAAAAAGCATCTACTAAATCACACAAATAAGTCGATCCAATGTACCACTTGTGACTCACAGATGATCTGCAGTGGCAACAAATAAGCCCTGTTGAAGATGCTGCCTTCCAGATGAAATACAACCCTTAATTTGCAGTTGCTAATGATGACCCATCACTTCTTGCTCTAATTACCAGAGGCATTAAGTCTGTTGCATTAGCTGAAGCATGTACTTGGGTCAAGACAGACTACCAAAACAAATCATCCCAGTAGATTTAATAATCTGTGACAGTTCTCTTGCCTTCTTAAACTGTTGCCCCATTTCTCCCCATTAGTGGATTAAGTGACTGTACAAAATGAGTAATTGTAGCTTGAATCCCCTATAACATTTATGCTGTAACAGTCTTCAGCAGTGATGGTTCAGTACTGTTCAGAGTCTCCATTCAGAGGATACTAACATAACATAATCAGGCTTTTCTGGGGCACAAGTTCTGTGAATTTATTTGTGTTTTTTACTTTGTCTTTTAACAAGTAGATACCGGCAAAGGGGATGCTTCAATGACAAAAGCCTGGGATGGACTACAGGGAAAAGAAAGTGCTGCTAATTCACTGTGACAGAATCAGAATCACATATGGATGCCAAATTGAAATGCTTCTCCCCTCATTCCCACCCCTCACCAGTCAATACTTGGCAGGCTCAAAAATGCTCCAAATGCCTATGCTGCTTGTTCTCACTGCCACACGTTCTCACATTAGCCTTG